TCTCTTCTTTTCCATTGGTCTGGGTGTCTGTTTTTATGCCAGTACCATGCTGTTTTGGTTACTATAACTTTGTAGTGTAATTTGAAGTCAGGTAGTATTATGCCTCCGGGTTTATTTTACTAGCTAAGGGTTGCTTTGGCTATTTAGGGTCTTTTTTTGTTCCATATGGGTGTTAGGATTATTTTTCCTATTTCTGTGAAGACTGTCATTGGTATTTTGATGGGGATTGCATTGAATTTGTAGATCACTTTGGATAGTATGGACATTTTCACAATGTTAGTTGTTCCAGTCCAAGAGCATGGAATGTCTTTCCACTTCTTCGTCCTCTTTAATTTCTTTTAATAATGACTTGTAGATCTTGCTATAGAGATATTTCACCTCCTAGGTTAAATTTAATCCTAGGTGTTTTATTTTTTTGGTGACTATTGTAAATGGGCTAGCTTTCTTGTTTTCTTTTTCTGCTAGTTTGTTGTTTTTCTTTTTCTGCTAGTTTGTTTATTTTTTTGGTGACTATTGTAAATGGGCTAGCTTTCTTGTTTTCTTTTTCTGCTAGTTTGTTGTTGCAGTATAAAAATGCTATTGATTTTTGTGTGTTGATTTGTATCCTGCAACTTTACTGCAATTTTTTATCAACTCCAACAGTTTTGTTGTAGATTCATTAGGTTTTTCTATATATATATGATCATGTCATCTGCAATCAGGGACAATTTGGTTTCATCTTTTCCTATCTGGATGTCCTTTATTTCTTTCTCTTGCTGATTTCTCTGGCTAGTACTTCCAATATTATGTTAAATAGGAGTGATAAGAGTGGGCATCCTTGTCTTCTTCCTGTTCTTAAGGGAAAAGCTTTCTGCTTTTCCCCAATCAGGATGATATTGGTGATATGCTTGTTATATGTGGCTTTTATTGTGTTCAGGTATTTCCTTCTATATCTAATTCTCTAAGAGTCTTTATCATGAAGCAATGTTGAATTTTGTCAAATGCTTTTTCTGCATCTATGTTTTTGTTTGAGAGATAACCATATGTTTTTTTCCTTGATTTAGTTAATGTGGTGTATCATGTTTATTGACTTGCATATGTAAAACCATCTTTGCTTTCCTGGGATGAATCCCACTTGATCATTGTGTATATTTTTTTCAGTGTTTTTCTGTATTCTGTTTGCTATTATTTTATTGAGGATTTTTGTGTCTATGTTCCTCTAAGATATTGGCCTATGGTCTGCTTTTTTTTTTTTGTCTTTTTCCGTGTCTGGCAACGGATCGCAACCCTCAGTGTTGCCCCCGTACCGGACCAGGGACCGGCAACGGGATCGCAACCCTCGGCGTTGCTCCCGCGCCTCGCTCAGCCAGTGAGCGGGAACTGGTCTGTATGTGGGATCCGAACCCTCAGGCGGGAGCGCCGCCGCGCTTCCCAAGCGGTGCACTATCCAGTGCGCCACCGGGCCGGCCCTGGTCTGCTTTTTTTTGTTGTATCCTTGTCTGGTTTTGGTATCAGGGTGATGCTGGCCTCATAGGATGAGTTTGGGAGAATGGCCTCTGTTTCAATTTTTTTGGAATAGTTTGAAGAGAATTAGTATTAATTTTTGATTAAAGGTTTGGTAGAAATCAGCAGTAAAACCACCCAGTCCTGGGCTTTTCTTTGTTGGGAGTCAGCTTCAATCATTTTTAGAATTACTGCTTCACTTTTGTTGCTTGTTATTGATTTTCTCAGGTTTCTATTTCTTCTTGGTTCAGTCTTGGTAGTTTTCATGTATCCAGAAATTTATCCATTTCCTACAGGTTTTTAAATTTTTTGGTACAAAGTTGTTTATAGTAGTCTCTAATGATTCTTTTTATTTCTACGGAATTAGTTGTAATGTCTCCTTTTTCCTTTCTAATTTTTATTATTTGGGTCTTCTCTCTTCTTTTTTTCAGTTAGCCTATCTAATGGTTTATCTATTGTGTTTATATACTCAAAAAAACAACTTTTTGTTTCATTGATTTTTTGTATCATTTTTGAGGTTTCTATTTCATTTCGTTCTTTTGTGATCTTAATTATTTCTTTCTATTTTGTTTTTCCAGTTGTTTGAGGTGTAGCTTTAGGATGTTTATTTGAAATCTTTCTATTCTTTTATTGCAATAAACTTCCTTGTTAGTATTGCTTTTGCAGTAACCCACACGTTTTGGTATGATGTGTCTTTATTTTCATTACTTTCAAGAAACTTTTCGATTGATTTCTTGTTTAATTTCTTCTTGGGCCTAGGGGCCATTGAAGAGCATGTTGTTTAATTTCCATGTGTTTGTATAAATTCCAGAGGCTCACTTGTTATTGACTTCTAGTTTTAATCCATTGTGGTATGAAAAGATACTTGAGGTTATTTCAATGTTTTAAAATTTATTGAGACTTGATTTATGACCTTACATGTGGTATATCCTGGAAAATGTTTCATGTGGTGATGAGAACAATGTATGTGCTGTGGTTAGATGAAATGTTCTGTAGATATATGCTTGGTCCAATTGGTCTAGATCCTGGTTTAAATCCTGTGTTTCTCTTTTGATTTTTTGCTTAGATAATCTTTCCAAAGTTCAGATAGGGGTCTTCAGGTCCCCAACAGTTATCGTATTTGGGTCTATCTCTTTTTCTTAGGTAAAATATTGTTTGCTTTATATATCTGGTTGCCCCAATGTTGGGTGCATGTATATTTATGATTGTTATGTCTTCTTGCTGAATAGATCCCTTTATCTTTATATAGTGACCTTTTTGATCTCTTTATAGTTTTTGGTTCAACATCTATTTTATCTGATATAAGACTAGCTACTCCTACTATTGATTTTTGATTTCCATTTGCATGATATACTATTTTCCATCCCTTCATTCTAGTTTGTGTGTGTTTTTACAGAAGAGGTGAGTCTCTTGTAGACAGCATATAGTTAGGTCTAGCTTTTTGATCCAATCAGCCAGTCTGTGTCTTTTGAGTGGGAAATATAATCCATTTACATTTACAGTTGTTACTGGAAGGTATTGTCTTACCTCTGTCATTCTATTGATTTTCATTTGGATGTTTTAAATATCTTGTGTTTCTTTCTTTCCCTTTTATTGTTTGTCTTTGGTGTTTGTTGGTTTTTGGAAGTGGTAGGGTACAGTTTCTTTCTCTTTCTCACTTTCATTTTTGTTCTATCAGTGGGTATTGTTTCTTCTTATGTATTCATGGTAGTGATTGTCATTTTTTGGATTCCAGATGCAGGACTCCCTTGAGAATTTCTTTTATGGCTCATTGGGTGGTGGTGAACTCTCATAGTTCTTGTTTGTCTGGGAAATACACTATTTCTCTAAAGGATAAGTTTGAATGTTCACTACAAAGACAAGAGTTCAACACATTAGTTATTCTTCTTAGTTATTCTTCTCAAATGAATGTTCACTACAAAGACAAGAGTTCAACACATTAGTTATTCTTCTCAAATTTCAACTTAGGTGAGAAATCAGGATTTATAGGTCCTAAGTTTTGAAGCTTCTTTTCATTTGTTCTCTCAAGTAAGGAAGCAGGGGAAAAAGATGAGTAAGGGGAGTTGAGGGAGTTTAAAAATAGAAATTGAATCGTATATAGAAGGCTCCTGCAACATTAGTCATTTCATCTACACCCTGCCCTGTGCCAGGCCCTCAAGGGGCCTAGTGTGAGGTTACTGAGCCCAGTGGAGATTATAGAAAGTACTGTTTTGCCCTACATAATAATAGCTAAAAGGAAAGCAGTAAAATTAACATCAAGGAAGAGAAAATAAAACCTATTTTAGAGAAAGCAAGAGTTGCTTTGAAATTGTTTTGAAAATTTTAATGAAGACTAATTCTTTGTTGTTTTAGGTATTTTTTTTTACCTGATTTGCATTTTAGAGGGCTGACATGCCCTGGTTGAAGCCATTTCCTTTGTGTGCATGTTTTCTTAAATACAATTTTTCTATCTGGGACTGTTTAATCCATTTATTGTATTATTTTTGTTATCATTTCTTATATAGATTGACAGTCTAACAAGGATACAGTATAGATTTTGAATTATTCCCACATGACTATGTATTCACATAGCTGTCAATGGTGTAACTTGCTAAGAGCTCCCACCCTGAGTGCAAGGCTGATGCCTCTGAAGTTGACCTAAGAGTTGTGCTAGGAGGTGTTATCTGGTTGTTATAAAATTTTATTGCTTACCTTTGTTTTAAGCTGCCTCATATATTTTTGGTAATGAAGCAGGATATATAGATAAAGCAAATAAAATTGCTTTATATAGCTTTACCTAGAATCATAAGTCTTAGAGCCTGGCACATCCTCAGGAAAAGCTGTCTGCTTTGACCTGTAAGATTTTTTCATTCCTGTTTAAAATATGGGGTAACTAAAGCACGAAGGGTTTTTAAAGTTATGCTGGATCCCACAATCAGCAAACCTAACAGAAAAAATTCCAGCCCAGGTCTCTGAATCCTTGCACAGTAATTTTTTTCCCTACTTAATTCTGCCTGTTCCTGCCCTTACAGATCCTCCCAAATAAGATCTTCTTACTTGGTGTCCTCTGAGCCAATGGAACAAAGCCAAGCACACCTCAACAAAGCAGAAGCTTTATTCCATGATTAGGGAATGAAAAGGAAGCTTATGTTCTAAATGCCCTCTCTCTCTGAAGGGTTCTGTGCGAAAAGTTTTATGGGGTCAGAGGCTTTGGGTGGTCGTGGGGGTGGTGACCATGTCACTCAGTTTCTAGAAAAGGGCTGGCGATTTCCAGAAATGCTTATGCCACTTTTCTTCCCTTCTTTGGTCTGGAGCGTTTGGTGCCCCCCTCCGCCCCCCAATGGGGAGGAGAGTCTAACATGGTAATATATTATAATGAGAGTATAATACTGAAAAGGTTCACAAAGGTTAGTTCTGGAGGCCATTGTGGTCCTCGCTGGTTTGGGCTTGTTCCAGCAGATGACTGATCTTTTCTTTATAAATCCATTGCAGCTGTTAGTCACAAGACTGGCCGTTTCTGTTAGTTCCTACAAGCAAGCATGTCTCAAGAGAGGAAAATTACTGCAAGTAAGCATATTGCAGAAGTGGAAAGTTACTGCAATTAAGCATTTGTCTCAGCTTCTAGAAGAGTGCATTCTTTTGAGGTCTTCAGTGGCCCTGGTGGCATTATGATTCTTGATCCAAGGAGACTATCAACAATTCATTCATCCATGCATTTAATCAGTCAATAAACATTTATTGAGTCATGTTCAATGGCCAGTAGGGACAACGGTGTTAAAAAAAGAAGCATTTTCTATAGTGATGATGACAATACTGATTAGACATGCTTACTGAGCACTTACCATGTGTTGTGGGGAGGAGGACCATGCTCAACCCAGACTTACATACATGAGTTATTTTCAGCCCACAAAAATTAAATGAGTTGAGCACCGTGCTGCATTTCTCTGGCTCTTTGGCTTCACCTTGTGGAGTTTGGCTATGTTGGTCTCTGAGGTCTTATATGCTCCAATATTCTGTAAGTCCGTGGATATGTCTAGATGGTAGATGCTAGGGTAGCCTTTCTCTCTGGGATCTATCCATTAAGTCATCAAGCAGTGAATGAGAGATTTTAACTTTCCTTGGAAACCAAAGAGTATCCTCTGTCTGGAAGAATTATTAGCACCTTTCTCAGTTGAAAGGGAGGTATTTTAGACCATTACGCCTATGATTAGTAGAGGTCAACTTAAGTTAGTTCTTACAGTTCTAAGTAGCTAATTCAATGGCATTATAAGCTACATTAAGTACATTTTGGTTTCTTGACATGTTCTTGTATTGAGGGGAACATCACAGCTATAATTAAATAACTGCTGTCTCAGCCCTTTTTTAACCCATGCCCTATCAGTTATAGAGCTTGTCAATTCACATCTTTTGGTAATGGTCAGGTAGAAGGAGGCTGTTCTAATTGTTCAGAAACTGAATTTCCAGTACTGAGGTACACTTTCCCCTGCTGACCTATTGAAATGAAAGACTAGGAATGATGATTAAATCTAATCTTCCCTTCTGTAGTAGCAGGGTCAGGAGGCCAGTTCCCCGCAGATGGCTTTAAAATACCTTTGTGATTTGATCTCCTTCCCTTCCCATCCATTTCTATAAATGCCTGATTTGATCTCCTTTCCTTCCCATCCATTTATATAAATGCCTATCACTGTCATCCTTTACCACCCTGACAAGATTCCAAGGTGAGAACAGCACAACTGAACAACAGCAGTTGTGATGACTCCTGAGGGTGTTGCTTATTAAATGAGTTAGGCAGTGAACCAAGTCTAGCTTGTAAGCTACAAGGTAGGTTAGCACATTTACATGAAGATAATTCCACATGGTATTTAATCCATCCAAATATATTGTTGTCTCTTTGCTGTCCTGCGTGACTCATGTGAAATAAATATAAGCTTACAACTTCATAATGTCTGAGTTTTATTTTCAAATAAGCTGGAAGTCACTTGGTTTCATTCCTTTGTTTGGATGCTAGCTTGCTTTCTCAGAACAGCTAGAGAATATTGATGAAGTGTGTGTATAGATGGAGTGAGGGAAGGGAATAAAATGCATTGCTTCAGGGCTGTCCATCTGTTCTAGGAACTCTGTGAGATCTGCACATTAACCACTGTCACAACTCTAGTGTATTCTGCCATTGTATTCTACTCAGAGATGTTCCTACCAACTCAACATATTACACATAAACAGATTTCACTCTTAGAAGATCGTTTCCTATTCTCATGACTAATAGAATTATTTCTTCCTCTGTGAAAGATAACACATGTAGGATTCCTACCAAGTGGTAACATATTTTCTTTCTTTTTCACACTTCTTTCTTTTTTACATAGACTGGCAGTATGAAGTTGCTCAGGCCTTTCCTCAAACAGAAGAGGAGGTGGAAGTGGACTCACATGCATACAGCCATAGGTGGAAAAGGAACTTGGACCCTCTCAAGGCAGTAGACACAAACCGAGCAAGCATTGGCCAAGACTCTCCAGATCCCAGAGGCTTTACGGACCTGCTACTGGATGATGGGCAGGACAACAACACCCAGATTGAGGTAGATAAATAACCTGGGTCATTGAATTGCATGGATGATATATTTCTTGTAAGGTACCCAACTTCTGCATATACATAAGTTGTCCTTTCATCTCAATCTAGAGCTTTTGGACATTTTTTTAAAAAGAACAATTCAATTCATTAATAAATATAATAGCTAAGCCATTTACTCATCCACTACTCATATACTCATGAAACAGACAAGCATGGGCTTATTGTGGTGATGACAGCAAGGGGATGGTACAGCCCCTGCTCTCAGGGAATTCATTGTGTAAGACAGTCTAAATGCCATAACCATATCATCCCTCTACCATGTGACAGCATTGATGAGTCTCTTAGGGTGACCAACTCTCCTAGTTTGCCTGGGGCTGAGGGGTTTCCTGGGATGTAGGAGTATTAGTGTTAAAAATGGGACTATTCTAGGCAAACTTGGACTGTTGGTCACTCTGTGACTAACTTATTCTTTGTTTTGGTTGGAGCCATGAAGTGGAGGGAGGAGGATGATTGGAGAGCAGTTTGGCAAGTATGGAAGTTTGCAGAGGCATATTTTAGGCAGATTTTAGGCTTGCTCACAGGCCTCAATGGTGGCATTACGGTTCTTAAGTTTCCACAGTCCATAGCATTGCAAATCATAAAATATGATCTTGATTGTAAACTAGATATAACAAAAACAAACTCATCTTGTGGAAATAAGTGGCGACCACCCAAAGGAGGGTAAACAGAGGCTATTTATTTTGTTTGCTTTACACAGGGGTTGGCCACTGTTAGTTCTCCAAAGAGAGAACCAACGGGGTATGTATATAAACATGAGAGGGGATTTAATAGGGGAATTGACTCATACAATTGAGAAGGCCGAAGAGTCCCACAATAGGCGGTCTGCAAATTGGATGTTGGTATCATGACTCATTCCGAGTCTGGAAGCCTCAGAACCAGGGACCCTGATGATGTGATTCTCAGTTTGAGGCCAAAGGCCTGAGAGCCTGAGTGCTGCTGGTGTAAGTCCTGGAACCCAAAGGCTGAAGATCCTCAAGTTATGATGTCCATGGACAGGAGAGCAGAGTGTATTTCAGCTCTGGGGGAAACAGAGCAAGATATTTGCCTTTTTCTTCATTTTTATTCTCTTGGGCCCTGGCAGATTGGATGGTGCCTGTCCATATTGAGGGTGGATCTTTCCCACCTAGTCCACTCAGGCAAGCATGCTAATCTCTTCTGGAAACACCCTCATGTACATACCCAAAAAGATTGCTTTATCAGGTCTCCAGGTATTTCTTAATCCAAATTGACACCTAGAATTAACCTTTACACCTGCCATCACTTGTCCTTGGCAGAGACTCAAAAGCAGGTAGGGGAGTGGGAAAGTTTGTAGTGGAACAGGGGAAGGCTTTAGGAGGTTGTCAGCATGAGAAAGTTTGAGGTGGCCTAATGAGAAACAGAGCATCTCAGGTGTTCAGTTTGAGAAGCCTATTTGGCTTTCCGTGGTTGGTCCTGAGTTGGAAGCAGGGGTAAAAAGACAGGGCAGCTCTCAGTTATTAAACAGGTCCTGACCATTCTGGGCTGACTGCTGCCAAGATTGCAGTTTGGCTTCTTGAACTGGTTGCTGTGGAGATTGGGGTCAGAGTTCTATTGTCATATACAGTCTGGCCATTGTCTGCTTGTCTATTCTCTCTCCATCTGAAGTTTCAGTTCCTACTTTCTCCCAGGTGAATGGCTTATGATTTTCAGTGACTAGGCAGCATTCCTCTTATTGCACCACAATCTCTGAAATACTCATTATTTTGGAATAAAACTCAACTGCATGAAGTTGGTACTACTTAGTCCCTGAAAATAATATCAAGGCATCTTTTGTTCTTTTATAGTAAAAGAAATCTTCAGAAGATCGGAAACACAGGCTGATGGAATTCTGTATATGTGAGAAATGCAGCAATTTCTGAAACCCCTCTGCATGGCCTTAGCTAGTATGTGGCTATGTGTTCTCTGGTCCAGCCAGAGCCCTTAACAACCAAGTAGGATGCATAAGGATCCGAAGTCGTATGATATCGATAAGAGGCCGTTCTGACTCCTGCAGACTGGCCTGCTATTTTGGCAACTATGTTGTTATAGCAACTTTGAGTGGGCACCATAATTCTTCCCCGAGCCACTCTTTAGCTGGGGTTCAGCATAAAGAAAGGAGAGCTGCACAGAAGCAGAGGCGTTTACTCTCTTCCCAGAACCAGAACCCAACTGCGATTGAAAGGGGAGAACACAGATTCCTAGAACTCTGTGATCTCTCTCATGGGGTGCTGAATTTTCCTAATCACTTGTAAAATAGACAGTCTCTTTGCCCAGGGATGTATTAACACTTCTCAGCACAGAATCCAGTTGTTATTCTAGCTGTGATTTTGTTATTCAGCCAATTTTTCTCTTTTCTGCCTTAACAAGAGAGAAACCACAAAATGTCAGTAGTTTTGAATCAGTAAAAAGAAGGGGGAAAGACAGCATGGGGGACTGTTTGGTGAGTCCTCACGTGGGGCTGAGATCTGCCAGGAGCTGAATGGCGGCCTGGTGACACTCACTGAGCTATCTCAGTGACTTTTTACATGACGGTGATTTCAGATTAGGTTTAGTATTTTCCTAAGGTCTCCCATTATCGAATCAAGGGGCTGGCATTCAAACCCAGGCTTTCTTGGCTCCCAGGGTTTATCCTTTCTACTTGACTTTGCTTTCTCCAGTACAAGGAAAGACAAATGACACTTGCATTATGTAATGATTTTGGACAGTGGCAGCCCCTGAATATCCATATGAAAGTAACTTTGGAGTTACAGTCTGGCTGGAAGAAGATTTCTCTTGAAGCTAGAGTTGCATAACAAGAGCACTGCCTTGATTTTAAGATTCTTTATCTTGTTGGGGTTCTGGGGTTGATGGAGATGACCTTAGATGAGGATCTAAAGTTTCCCAAGTCACTCGGCACTGCCACTTAAGCTATGTCTGAAACTTCTCTGGAATGTTTTCCTTATCCTGGCCTTTTGAATAGTACTTGTGAACACTGTTGCATCTTTCATGAAAAATACTTTTTCCTGATTAGTTAAACAGGAATAAGAAAAAAAGGAAACACATAGTTGTAGAGTGACTACTCTGTGTTCTATTCCCTCTCTCGGGACAGTGATAGTGTTTATAAAATGGATTGTAGAGTATGATTTTTGCCTCAGTTCAAAAGCCTCTAGATGACCTGATCAAGCGAGGTTTTTAAAATAGGGCTTATGGATCATATAAGTGTACTTTTATGATACAAACTGACTCAGAAATTGTGAGCTAGACCAGTGCTTCTGGAATGTCAACATGCTTACAAATCACCTGAGAAGCTGGCTAAAATGCATGTTCTGATTTCTTAGTTCCAAGCTGGAACTTGCCTGATATTCTGCACTCCTAACAAATTCCCAGGTGATGCAGCCATGGACAGTACACAAGCCACACTTTGATTTACAAGAAGCTAGATCACAAAGCAGGTTTAGTTATTAGTGTTGAGGATATAAATGTTCTGAAAAATTGTAAATTCAATTTAGTTGCCTCCCAACAATATGTCTCATGGAGTTCTCATTCTGGTACCCAGTTAAAAGTTGCAGATGTATCCAGCAACTGTTGTATCATCCACATGCACATTCACATTCATATCTGGGGAAAGTACATTGAGAATGATCAGCAATTTAGCTAACAACTAGAAATCAATAGCTTTTTTCCTACATACATATGTAAAAATTCTCTTTGATTTTCTGCTGTGACACACACTGCCAGTAGTGTTGGCATCTTATTTTAAAAAATTGTGTGATATATTTCTTTAAAAAGTTACCAGTTGCTGATTGCTGCACACAAGGTTATTGTGTGGGTGCTAATATTTTATTGCACTCCGTACGTAACTAAGTAATTTATTAGAGAGGAAAGAAATAACTGGCAAATGCTTAATCTGAAAAAGAGTGTGATTAGTTTGATGATTATTTCACCAAAAAAAAAAAAAAGACAAATTTTGTAATATTGATGTGGGCAGAAAATCCATGATATGTTTGTAGCAGAAAGTACATTAGATAATCCTTAGATAACGAAAATCCTATTGCTCCTGTGTTTTTTAAGCCTAAAAAAGCTCTCTCAATTCCAGAAGTCTAACAATAACAATAATGTATACAAATACAGGGTAGTAATAAGAAACATCATCTCATTTCACAGAAGTAGAGTGAATTTGTAGAATATTGCTGTGCCAATTCTGTCCTCAGGCCGCTGTGCTGCTCATTGAACTCATAGAAGACAATACGTATTTGCAAGAAGAATGTGATAATGTAGATTTGTGACATTTTCAAGAGAAAGAAAAGTATCAGTTGATATTGAACAGTTCTGTTACTATATTTAATATGAATGTGAAAAACTGGTGAAGTTTTTTTTTTTTTTTTTTTTTTAATGAAAACTTTTCCATTTTAGGGGATCTTAAATTTGTAGAAGTTGTAGCATGCAGTTGCAGAATCAGAAAGCTGTGCAAAGGTAATACTAAGATGAGTCCTGAAGAAATACACATATTTGACTCCAAAGTGAATTGAAATTTCCCAAATGTGTGTAGGTGTCAGATTGGCCTTCACGAAAGATGAGAAAGAAAGCATTCTGAGGGCATGCAATTGATAAAGAAGAGAAAACCCTCATAAATTAATTAAAACACAGAAGGAGATCCTTATTCTGTAGAGATCCAGGGATTAATGTGGGACGAGGTGTCATTTGAACCGTCAGAGACAGAAGATAGCCAGGTATCAAGGTATTTCTAGACAGAGAGTTCTGCACAAATTCACACGGAAAAGGCTTAAACTTCATCGTGTAGTGTGCTAAGGTGTTTGGAATTTATCAGGAAGGTACTTGAAAGCCACTGAAAGCTTTGAACAGGGGAAGGCAAGATTGCATTAATACTCCTAAAAGACTGCTATAGGGTGCTAAATGGGGAATGGATCCAAAAGCCCAAATCTGGGAGTGGAAAGATGAGTTAAAATTAGA